CTGAAAAAAGATTTTTGACGCACAAGTGTTTGCTGAACCAAAAAAAAAATGATTTTGCCACATTGTTTTGTGAAAGTCAAAGTCGTGTATTTTGAAACACATCGCAGTCTGAAACACATCACAGCACAGTCTGAAACTCAGAGAACGCACCGGGAATCGAACTCTTCGACTCGGAGAATGCAAAAAGAACTCAAGAGAATGCAACGGGAATCGAACTCTTGAACTCGGAAAAAGAACTCAAGAAACATGATCGGGACTCTTCTTCGCCACCAGGAGTGCTATTGGTCTTAAAGACTGAAACACATCACAGCACAGTCTGAAACACATCACAGCACAGTCTGAAACACATCACAGCAGAGTCTGAAACACATCACAGCACAGTCTGAAATAAGGAAAAGAACTCAGAAGGCAACGGGAATCGAATTCTTGAACTCTGAAACACACATCATGGATTCAGAAGTAACTCAAAAAAAAAAAATCTGCATTCATAAAAGCTATTAAGAACTTAAAAAGTAATAAAAACTATTAAAAAGTTTGTAAAACACAGTTGGCTACGCACTTTTTCCTGTCTGAAATAGTTACTTCCAGGAATTAACAAAACTCGGAACAAAACTCGGAACGAAACTCGGAACGAACTCGGAAACTAACTCTGAAGGAACTCGGAAGTATCTCTGAAGTATCTCTGAAAGAACTAGACTAGAGCAAACTGCGAGCAAACTTGTCAACCTCGAAAATCTTTCAAAAAAAAAAACGAGACGGAAACTAAAATAATTCAAAAATCTAAAAAAAAAAAAAAAAAAAAAAAAAAAAAACCCCTCGAAAAGAGAAGAAAAGAAGTAAGGCCGACGAGAAGGACAGTGCTTGCCGTAATGGCAATTACCTGGCAGCAGATGGCTCTTTTTTTTTTTCTTTTTTTTTTTTGTGCCCGCTTGGGCACCTACAACGACACGATACAGGTGGCTCCGAGCGAGCAATCGGTGCAGAGAACTCAAACGGTACTTAACAAACGGAAACCACCACGACCTTTCACAGGCGAACGTTTGTGACAAATTTGTGTCTACTACCACATTGGTCGGAGGTAGTCAAATTTCCCGGGCCTCCCTAACCTCTTTGGCTGGCGGCGCCAGAAGAAAAAGTCAAAAAAAACTTTTAAAAAAGTCAAAAAAGTGCGCCACACGGCTCGGGGAAAAGAGGCCTGGAGGTAGACTCAGGTAGTGGTGGTTTAAAAATAACTCAGTGGGGGGAAATAGCACTGAATATTCAAAACAGAGGACAGTCGACAAGCTCCTGAATCCAGCACTTAGAGAAGGCACACACAATTCTTTAAATGTGGGCATCATGATACTGGAGAAAACGACAAAAAAAAAAAAGGGGAACAGCTGGAACTTGAAAGTTGAAACCAATTGTGAACTTGTGTGTGCATGTGCATGGCACAATCAAATCGAAGAAAAGGTTAAGATAACGACTTCCTCACGAATCCCTCTCCATCACAGTGACTGCGTTTGTCAGCAGTCGCACCAGGATTCGTCATATCGTTATCCTGCATCATCTCTCTCTCTCTCTCTCTCTCTCTCTCTCTCTCTCTCTGTGTGTGTGTGTGTGTGTGTGTGTGAGGATCGGTTGAGTGACCAGGATTCGTCACATGATTATCCAACGTCGGCTCTCTCTCTCTCTCTCTCTCTATCTATCTATCTATCTATCTATCTATATCTATCTATCTATCTATCTATCTCTATCTATCTATCTGTGTGTGTGTGTGTGTGTGTGTGTGTATCTATCTATCTATCTATCTGTGTGTGTGTGTGTGTGTGTGTGTGTGTGTGTGAGCCGAGTTTCAAGATCTTCCACTCTTGATTCTGTCTGTTGTAACATATGTGTCGACCCATCTGTAAAGAGGGTCTAGCCAATGAACTCTTGTCTTCACGCTTGACGCAAGCAGATGGTGAGCATCTTCGCCCATCCGAAGTCAGAAGCCCAAATTCCGACACTCACCATGCGAATCTGATTGCATCCAGTTCCTGGAGAGTGCACGGTTGAAGATATATGTGTGCGTGCATTCGTTGTCACTGTGTCACACACACACACACACAGAGAGAGAGAGAGAGAGAGAGAGAGAGAGAGAGAGAGAGAGAGAGAGAGAGAGAGAGAGAGTTGCAGACAAAGCCATGACAGCAGCATGCTATCACAGCGGCTGTGAGCGGCCTCTACACGCTTATGAATAAGTCAGAATAACCCTTGATCGAATGAAAAAGCAAACCACCTCCAGCTCAGATCATCTCCTGCTGAGTTTCTTAAGAAGGCCAACTGAACAATCATGAGGTCTGGTCAGCCTTTCCTTCCCCCACCACCATCAAAAAAAAAAAAAAAAAAAAAAAAAAAAAAAAAAAAAAAAACATCAGTGATTGACTAAACCCCTCTGCACCAAATGAGTACAACGAGAACAAGGCTGTTGTACTATGCGTCCAAAATGTGCAGAGGGGAGAAAAAGGGGGATAAAGTTAAAACCCGCAGTACTTCTGAGGCACTTTTGTGAGTATAGCCCAAGCTTGGCCAGCCCATTTAATGAAGTGACAATCCCATCCATTTTTTTTCTAGCCCCCCGCGCGCATATTCAGGATATTAGCATAATGGCTCGCAGCTCCGAGGGTGAATCGCAAGAAGTAATAAAGGATAAGGGAAGCTTTCAGATGGACTATGTTTTCTTAGGATAGAGGATAAGGCGAGATGTATAGAATACAAGATAAGATAGAAATTCATAGAATGCATACAGGATAAGGCAAGACATATAAAATACAGGACGGGATGCCAGTGGAATGCAGGATAAGAG